CCAAGAGTGAACCAAATCTTACATCGAGTTGATAGCCTCATATGTACACTCAAAAACTGGTAATCATCTTTTATCACATTTAAGAGCCGTAATGGCTATTGATCACCGTAGATCAATTAGGCTTAGAAAAAAAAATCAGGCCAACGTTTTGGCGTTCGACAAGTTTACTTTGCAAAATCTTGCCAACAAATCTGGGTGCGTGTAAACCAACCTTTTATACCATGGACAGAAAGCAGTATTTCACAATACAAATTGCTCTTATTCAATATTCATAAACTGTTAAAAAAATTTTCCAAAATCACCTATACGGCCATCCGGTTCTCACTTTTGTAGTGCGAGCTCTAGCGAGTGTTTGAATGAACATTAACAGAGTTACGCTCCAAGATAATAAAGAATTTATCATGTTTATTTTTTATTTGATGGTTTAACGCGCGGCATTTTGAGAACTCCTGCAAGCGATGTTCACTGAACGACTGAAAACAATCGGCATAGCGATTAAAATTGCAAGAGAGACTACCAACAATCAATAAAAGAAATATAATTCGGTGAAACATAAACAGAGACAACAATTTTCATTCAGGAAGACAAGTATTAAAGTGTCCCTAAATATCCTGAGTCTTCAAGCTTCAAGCTTAAGTTTGCTGAAGTTTATGTTTTAAGCCAGCTTCCCGGTGTTTGTTTTTTCAAAGACGAACTCGAGGCAAGAAAATCGCTCAAAGCTTTCTTTTCCGGCTAGAATTATAACTAAAGATTCTTTGGAACATTTTCTTTATATTTGCGGTGAGAAACTGTCTAAAGGCTTTTTAAAAGTTCTGTAAGATTATATCAAACCAGATACTCGGTGAGATCGTTGTCTCAAAACTTACAAACGCGCATAAACTAAATTCCCGCATAAACTACGCTCCACTTCATTAAATTAGATACAAAAAACAAACATGAAATACAATAATTTCTCTGGCTTACCATTCGAAATGCAGCTCCTGAAAGTTATCAGGTAAAGCCAGTATCGCTTCAGACTTTGCAATCCTCTTACGCATCAAGCAAGGTGAAAACGAAAACGATGCCATCCGAAATCGGATTTCCGACTTTGACAAGCGACGTTTTCTCAACCAAAAACCCAATAAACAAACTAGCCATGAGTAACAGAAGACTCCTGATAGCAGCTGAATTTCATTTTGTACATCCAGTGGAAAAAGACAGTTAAAAACATCACAAGTTGACACAAAACTCTGTCAGCTTCAGCTGTTAAAGTAAACAAGATTCAAGATGCTGCATAAATTTTGCGCATGAACTCACATGTCAAATTTTGACCAATCAGAGCATAAAAATTGGACGTAGAGCGTGACCAACGCGTGACCATTGTGAGAAAAAACAAAAGCAACTGTCTTCCCTGCCTGTAACAGCTGGCTGAATTTTCACGTCCGAGGTCAGTTTGCAATCAAAATTTTAATTGTGCAGCACATAAACACAACATATTTCATATGAATTAAGAAAAAAAATTGAACTTGAGCCTGCGATCACTTGAAAACTAGTTTACTTGTCAGCGGATAACTTCAAAAAATACTTGACCTCGACGGGTCGACACCTGAGCCCGCGATACGGTCAAGTGATACTGGTCAGCGGTTTTGACAGCTGTCAATTGATCAAAACATTGATGTCCAATATGTGTGCATTATCAGTTTTCCTGTGCTCCCAAACTAGTAAAAGTATGAGATTGAACGTTGTTCGCGATCTAGTAAAACAGTTAACTGGTCAGCGGACAGCTTCCAAATAAATCACGTCACCTCGATGAGTTGACACATGAACCCGTGATATGGTCATGGGATACTGGTCAGTGGCTATCCTGTTTGGACAGCTGTCAATTGACCATATTGTTAATGTCCTATATTAAAGATGTGGGCTTGCCAAGACACGCCTGAGACACCCCTCCCTTCCTTTTGATAGTCTCCCCTACCCCACCCATACAATCTGTAGACGCGTACGTACGTACGTACGCTCGGTCAATCACGTGACAACCAAACGAAAAGAGGTTGACCATATTCCATGGGTATGGGGCTCTGTCCCACGCGCGCTTCGCGCGCGCGGGAGCCCCGCTATTACTGTTGACAGTAATTTGCATACTGAGTCACAAAACGTTCGCATGGGCGCTTTATCCTTCAGATTGGCGCTTCCTTCTGCGGTGTCTAGCAGCATTTTGAGACAAAAGTTGTTGACAGATAAGGAAGAGAGGCTTTACTACTTGTTTACTAAGCGAACTTCGTTAGAAAGCATGCGTGTTGGTTATGAGTCTCAAACAGCGTTCAATATAGAATGGCAAAGTTGAACAGATGGCAACGGGAAACATTTTACATTTTGCCGTAAAACTAGACCTGAAACAAAGACCAGGGTGAGTACTTTAACATTTAGAACTTTGTGCGTGAATATTACCAAAACTTTTTCCGAGAGACGTTTCATGACCTTTGCCTGGTCGACTGACGATGGTCACGCATATGTTAAGATGGCGTTACTTTATGTTGTCTCTAAAACGATTTTCCAATAATTTCTGAGAAGCTCGAAATTATTTCCCCAAAATAATTTTTGCATAACATAATAGTTTGATGCCTGTAGTGTATTTGTATTTGTAATTCGGATCAAAGGCACATGATGAAAATCGTCGCTGTTTTCAACGACCTTTCGTGGCTAAACATCAGGTAGTCGTACGCTTTAGCTTTTTTATAATTACTTAGACTGTTGTAATGCTAAAAATATTATATATTTTGATCAACGACGAGTTAAACTTAAAATTTTAGCAATAAGTTTTTTTCCTAGCGCGGCTGTATTGGAACGCGAGTCCAGCGAATCATGATGAATTTCAACCCTGTTTTTGGCTGGCGAAATCGACGGTAGGGCTTGAAACGGTTTTTTTCGTTTTTCTCGGAAACGAACAGATCTTTCGAAGAAAAAACTACATAGCGTTTGTATACTTACTAATGTCTACCAGTCTGCAAAAGAAGAGCGATTTTGATTTTTTGAGCCTTGCCACGAATCGGCGATTTTGGTCGATTTTTGCATGGATTTGCTCGTAATATCCGTTTGATTGTCTTTCAAACAACAGTCAAACTATGCAGCAAAAATAAGTAACTTTACCAGTACAGTGAAAAAATATGACCGTAGGTGCCAAAAATAATTATACTCGAGCTATAAAATTAGATTTGACTTTTTTTAGCTTTGGTTTCTATATTTTTGAAGTTTTCTCTAGTCTTCTTAGCAGCAGAAGAAGATTACAAGACATACAAACAGAAACAATCCGAAGTGAACGAGTTGACAACCACTTATGCCGGAGTTCTTAGGCATGCTCAACAGCAAGATAAACTGAAGGAATGCCAAAAGGCTAATTCACGGGATTTGTTCGTTATTCAGGCTTTTTCTTTACCAAATTAATACTAAATTTGTACTTACAGTCTCTCGCAGAATCCATTTCTTGTCCAGCATTCACCAACGTCTCAACCATACACCGCAGAAAAAAAAGACAAACAAGTGCGAAGAGACATGACGACATCGTAACGCCACAACTGCAACGCTACAACAAACTAGATTCATCGTCATCCGAAAACACTTCTGCGGAAATTCGGCCGATTTCGTGCGTGCTCGTGGTATCTTCGTATGGCGCAGATGACGTTGCTCAAAGGACTATCGTCAGCAAGGAGTAAAACAGTTTGCGAGATTCGCATAGCCGAGAAGAAGCGCACTGAAAAACTAAGCAAAATCTCTCTGAGAAGGCAGTCCAAATTCACCAAATCAGAACGTCTTTGCAGAATTAACGTCGTACTCTCGTACTGACTTGAACGACCTGGTAAGCTTAATTTTCACCAGTCTTTTAATGCTGTTGACCGGAAACATTCCGACGCGATAAAACTTAAGCATGGATAAGTTTATGCTGAGAAGATTTGTTATCTTATTGTTTAAGACGCTTTTCCGCGATCAAACTTAAATCCGGACCCAGAAATGTCAGTATCGGTTTAAAATAAAAGGATTAATCTTTGATTGCAAGTTAAATATTCTATTTTATGCATGAATAGTGTTGTTTTGTTGTGCTTTTTATTTATAAATCCAGGCTTCTGTATTCAGTTTTGCCAGTCGATCCCGTGATACACATTGTGACAAACATGACTTTTTCTGTTATAATCTGCATTTATTGCCAGGCATGAAACCTGTAACTTCAAGCTCCCTAAGATATATTTGGCGATTATATGTGATTCTCAGGATATGATGCTGAAGCGAACATCAAAATCAGTCTCGCTGGGTATGCCAATTTCTTGCCTGGCATGCCGGGCATGCCAAACCAACTGGCTTCACCATCGGCATGCCCGGCATGCAAAAAACTGGGAATGAATTATCAACCCGGTGAGACATCTGGGACCTAAGTTTAGCTGGGTCAATTTTGGGCTGCGAGGGCATGAACCCATTTTTTCCATGCCTATGAGATGTTATTTCTAAGTACCAATGTTCCCTTGAATTTTGTCATGCCTAAATATATAAAATTTTCCCTCTCTCATTAATCCTCAGACTGGATGCGATTTTTACGCTCGCTAGGCATGTTCAACTGAAAATCATGCCCGTACCCTTATTCAAAACAAAATGCTATCAAATTTTAGTTTCGAAGCCGTTTGAGGGAAAGACGCCAATCCACCATGATGACTCAAGACTTGTAATTTAAGACAAATGCATGGCTTTCTTCCTTGCTAGGAGTGAAAATTGTAGTTACCGTTTGAAAACACTCTTGTTCTTTTACAGATGTCAGTACCTTGTATAAAAGATGCGATAACTGTCAGACGTGTTACTGTCAAAATCATGGCAAATACAGCTCTATGATAAAATTCGAATCTACAATTTCTTGCAATTATATCAGTAGTGAACATTGATCATTATCGTTAGTGTACCGTGTGATGTTTTTCATTTTTTATTAAAGTTGACGGCTTGGAAATCCCAGAACTCGATACGGCAAGTGACGAAGTAAATATATGGAGGCCTTCTGGCGGCAAGTGGACCATTCAATGGTAGCTCGTGGACTTATTCGGGGTAATCTACGTTGTCGTGAATTTACGTCCTATTCGTCTGATCTCTCCAACCAACTTTGCTCCATTTGAGACCACTGAGACTCTTTTCCATCTCTATACTAAATTACTTTAATAAAATATCTTTTATTTGCACTGGGTATTATTAACGTCACTTTCGTTTTGCTTATTATATATCGTTCACGTCAACTACGCCTATTCTTCTCTTTTTTAGCGTCGAACCAAAAAAGTAATCCGTACACTGTGAATCCCAGTTACACCTTCTGGGCACCGTGGATTAGATGTCAGTCAAGGAGAGGGCCAGTGGTGTTCAATTCGGAGCATCGAAAGTGTACTCGAATTTCATCTGATACCACTGAGGAAGAGGACGGAGAAGTTGAAAAGGGTATATCTGAGGAGGAACTGATTGAAATGATGCACTTTGCGCAGGTAATGACATCTGTTGTTTTCATGAAAGTAACATCCAAGTGATAATAAATATCATCTTCTAATAACTCAATGATAATTTGAGGGGCTTTAATTTCGTCAGAACATTCATTTCCAGAGGACTCGATTTGCAGCACCTCGAGATTATTTCATTTAACCCCTTTTTAGTTCCTTGATTTATTATATAAGTTCTAAATTGTGATATGGCATAAGCCTAATGTTGAGTAGTGCGAAACTATATAGTAATAATTAAAAATGCCAACTGTAGTTGAAATTTTTCTCCTGTAATCACGCTCTAGCTAGATTCACTATTGAGCATATAACTTGAACACAAATGAGGACAAAACATTGTCTTTGTGTATGACATTTATATTTCGGGTGCATTTATATATATGTGACTGTTTTTATTATTATTTATATGACTGTACTTACGTCTTACCACTCTCTCTCTATGCATTTCTTAGGCTAAAACACTTCAAACAATCTGCCGCGTATATATATGGGGTTCCTGATGCATCCAGAATGTGAAAAGCATACTGTATTAGCCACTTACGGTCCAAACTCGGGATTTCAGAAAATTTTCAAAAGATCTTCAAGAAGACATGGGGTTCATCAGGTAGTTGTACTTTTCAAACGGCACTATTTGTTTGATGCAAGCTCATTCTCTCTTGAGTGATGTCAGCGATACAGAAATAATAACTTCCAGCGAGTCCAATATCATTATTATTATTACTATTATTATTATTATTATTATTATATGACAAGAGTACGTATATTTATTGAATCACGGTTAGGTTGTTTTTGGGTCAACGGCTCGATGACCAAACCATCCAGGACCGCTCAATTTGGAAAGACAGAGTACTTTATCAAGCAGTGCAAAAAGACGCAAAGAGTTGTGGGATGTTTGTTCTTAAGGTTTGACAATTATTTATCTATGAGTACTATGCTTTTTGCACTACAATAACTGTGCAACAAAAATTTTGACGCGTTCAATAATAATAATCATCATCACCAACTAACGGTTCTGTAACTAACCTCTTTTTTTTTCTGGCTGTAGATGGCCGAGTGCCTAGCAACAGGACAAAAACCTCGTTTTCTCAGGTAAAGACAATCAGTGAAAATTTGGATATCTTAAGATGCAGAGATAAATACTATTCTAAACTTCGAAGACAATCCAGGCCTAAGGTACATGACGTTATAGATGGGACACCTCGCTGATTGAAATAATAAGATTTATTAAACACGTTTCTCTTAACACTTTGTAGAGGAAATTTGTCAGGGGAGTGGGAACTAAAGAAGAGAAAAAAACCAATACCAGAAAAGCAAGGAAACCCATCAAAAAAGGGAAGAAAGCAGAACCATCCCAAGAGCAGGTAAATAAGCAATAAAAACCTAAGATACATTAACAAAGTAAGGCTCAACCAAGGCTCGATAAAGCATAAGTAAAGTGCGCAACTGTCATAAGGTAAAACTGTGAAAGGTTTGAACCCAGGAGTCATTTCAAAAGTAGATTGAGTTTGATCGTCCGAGTGAACGTAGTGCTGAATAGGACTGTTGTTGTTGACATTGACTGACGTTTCGACAACCTGTGCGGTAGTCATCTTCAGAGTCAAAGTGAGTTGTATCACGTCAGTTGATGGCAATATATATATTTAGCCGGGGCTAAAAGCTAAGCTCCCGTTAATAAATTCATAATTTAAATCAAACAATAAACTTGTAATCCACAGATCAGGGCACATTCATGTGACTTTTGAGGCAAAGGCCTATAAGTGATTTTAGAGAAAAATAATTTGACAGTCCAAGAGTGAAACAAATTTACATCGAGTTAATAGTCTTATTTGTACACCCAAAAATAGCAACCGTGTTCGATCACAGTAGACTAGGCCTAGAAAACAAATAGACCTATTCGTGTATTCTATTTGCATTAGCTGTTGCGTCATAATGTGGCATTCACCAGTCTCTCCAACATTGCTCCGTTTGAGAGACTATGGATTATTGGAAAACCCCGCAATATAATTTTAAGAAACACACGCGCCACGATAGTCCTTGGTGGCAGCCAATTTACACGTTGCACGTTCCTCTGTCTAAAAGGGAGGCCAAAATAAAAAACCAGGCCGGATTTTTTGTGTTCGACAAGTTTACTTTACAAGTAAATCTTGGCGACGAATCTGATGGCGTGTAAACCAGCTTTTTAAACATACTTTTTCTCATCACGTCTCAGGTAAACAGTACTATGAGGCCCTTTTTTTATCATACAGACCTCGGACAGAATTTGTTTTTTTGCCCTATTTAAACCTATAATTCTGCAGTTTTTCACAATTTTGCTAGACAAATTGCACTCATTCAATATCCAGGACGATCAAAGCACGCTCTTCCTTTGCACAATAAGTTATAGCGTTGAGCACATTATAAAACGTTTTCATGAAGAGAATTAGAATTCCATAATGCCGGGACTTTTCAGTTAGAAAAATCTGGTCCTGTGTGATACGCCGGGTAATAATTATGGGCTTTTAGTGAAAACGGGTTCTCACTTTTGACAGGCACCAAATTTGCAGTGATTAATAGAGATACCATTTACGCTTCAACATAATAGAGAATTTGTTATGTTTAGGTTTTATTTCCCTTTATTTGTAAAACTGTTTATGGTTTTGTTATCTGTAATCTTTAAAAGCGAGTGATATTTACGCGTGGCGTTTTCAGTATTCCTGCATGCGATGTTTATGTTCGACTGGAAACAACCGGGTGCAGCGATAAAAATTGCGAGAGGGACTACTAACAATCAATGAAATAAATATAATTCGGTGAAACATGTACAGAGACAATAGTTTTCATTCACGAAGACAGGTATTGAGAGTGAAGTGTCCCTGAAAATCATGAGTCAGGTAAGCATAAGCTTATTTATTATAATGCTGAGTCTGTTTTCGCCATGCGATTGGTCAATTTGCGGTTCGTAACTTGCTATACGGACCAAAAATTCAAAGAAAATGCTTATTTCGGAGCTCTAAATCTCTTTACCTCGGAAAAAAAGGTTGAAATTAAGTTACAAGACGTCTATCAACCTTGAGGACTTAGACTTTGACTTTGTCCTTCAGCATTTTAGCCTGTGTTTATTTGTGAACGAAGGCGATGAAGAAACTAATTCGTAATCTTATCGAAGAGGATTCTAGTCAGTGTTTGAAAATTTCATCGTAGTACACAGTTAAGAAGACGAAAATCGACTGGCAGCTAGAGATTCGAGTTGTTTTGCCTGCGAAAAAATGAGTAATTCCTTCGACAAATATGATAACAAACATGCCTGCACCCGATCATCTTGACGAGCTTCTTTGTCATTTGGAATGTTTTTCCGAAGACCAACGAAAGAAAGATAGAAGCGACTCCGAGCCAGACACAATGTCCCGTTTTCAAAGACTCCAGCGTCACATTGGCAAGTGAATACTTACAGTGCTCTTAGTTTTGATCGAATATACTTAAAAATATGTCTGTAAACCCTGAGGACTGGGATGTTGACTTTGCTTTTCCTGATTTTAATTTAGCTTTGTTTGAGCGAGAACGAAGCTGATGTAGAAACTGAATCGTAACCTTTCCGTAGAAGAAAATATGGTCCGTGCTTGAAAATTTTAACGCAGATCACGCTTGAAGAAGAGAATGAACTGGCAGAAATTCGAGAGGTTTTCCAAAAAAATTAACGAGCGAATCTTCGTCAATGACAACAAACTTACCATGAAAAGCTTCTTTGCCTTTTGCAGTGTTTTTTTTTCTTTTACAAGGACCAACTGAGGAAAGATGGAAACGACTTCGAGAAAGACACAGTGCCAACAATTCGCAGTGCCCGGTTTTCAAAATACTCCAGCGTTACATTAAAGAACTAAAACTTACAGCGCTCTTAGTTTTGACCAAATAAACTTTTTCACAATGGCGAATTTGTCTTCACTTTCTCGGAAACCCTTTGTTGTGTGCTATGTTTTCGTGAGCCAATAAAACTTTCTTTCTTGACGCCTGTTAAAAGATTGTCAAATCACGCGTCCTACACTTGTTTCCGGTCCCCGAAACTGGAAGAAGCCATATAATAAACATCTTATTAGCCTCGTTTTTTCGGTCCGTACTGTAAATTACGGATCCTCCTTTTTTTCCATCGATTTATGGCCAAAGCGCGAAAAACTCGGTCCGTAATTTACAGTACAGACCGAAAACTCGGCTAATCATGAGAGGTATTTATGTTTTAAGCCGGCTGGCTTCCCGGTGTTTTCTCTTTTTCAAGATGAACTCGAGGCAAGAAAATCGCTCAGAGCTTTCTGTTTACAGCGAAAATCATAACTAAATATTCTTCGGAACCTTTTCTTTGAAATTCCGGTCAAAAAATGTCTAAAGGCTTTTTAAACCTGTTACTATTAATTGTAGGTTGGATCATTGCTCCTGTATAAACTTAAGCCGCATAAACCATACGCTTGACTAAAGGAAACCGAAAAAAAAAAAACGCATCAAAGACAATAATTGCTCAGGCTTACCAGTCGAGATGCTGCCTCTGAAGGTCATCAGGTGTTGCAGAATCGCTTGAGACTTTTCAACCCTCTTACGCCTCAAGCAAGGGCAAGTGAGTAAGCTCATTTTTAAACACGATGCCATCCGAAATCAATAACTTTGACAAGCGGTTCATTTGTCAACAAAAAGCGCAATAAAAAAACCAGCCATGAATTACAGAACAATCTTGATAGCAGCTGTATTTCATTTTGTACATCAAGTAGAAAAAGATAGTTTAAAACATCACAAGATGACACAAAACTCTGTCAGATTCAGCTATCAGTAAGCAAGTTTCCAGACGCTGCATAAATTTTCCGCATGAACTCACCTGTCAAATTTTTACCAATCAGAACATAAGAATTGGACGTAGAGGGTGATCAACGCGAGACAGTGACAAAAGTCCAGAAAAGTCAAAAGCGATTGCCTTCCCTGCATGTACAAGCCGGTTGAATTTTCGCGTCCTAGGTCAGTTCGAAATCAAAATGTTAAAAGTGCGGCTCATGAACACGACTTATTTCATATCCATT